AATAATTTCAGACATTTAATATTTATAAGGTGCAAACATTCTTTGTAGAAGCAGAAATATAGAGCTATGCTGAATGGTACAAGAGCTGCATACAGAAACCAAATTAGGTGTCAACAGAAGGGGAGATCTGGGGATACAAAAGAATGGCAGATATTCAAGTCATATCCCAAAATGCCTACAAAGTCAGACAGACTTTACTCAAGGAGCTCAGACTCTTCTCCTAAACACCTCCCTCCTCTGTTTTCTGTGCCACTGCTATTCTAATCTGCAAACACAGGAATCGTGACAGCTTCTTAATCACGCTCGTTTGTACTTCAGGGCTAAAAGCTCACCTTTTCTTGTTTAGATTTGGCTATCATCTCTTCTATGAGTTCTTTCCTAGATTTAGGTTTTTCCTCCTCTTCATCTTGCTGCCCACTTGATACTTTTTTACGAAGGAGGCCTCCACCCCCTCCAAAGTGAGCAGCAGTTAATTCAGCTGGGGAAAAAAAAGAAGAATGTGAATCCTTTTCAAATCCAAACATGACTGCAGAAGAGCTGCTGCTGGGGCAGTATCTCCCTATTCTTGGAGAATGGGAGCAATCAGAACTCTTGAACCAATTATGCATTATTCCCATCCCTATGGAATGCCTGTACCCAAAGAGATTATATTAGACACATAATTTACACTGACAAACATTTTGTATGAAGTAGGGACATGTTTTTCCCCAATATTTATCTGGCAGTTAGGTTCAGAGATGCAAGAAAGCAACAAGAAAACTCACACTTCAGACTCTGGCCAAAGGGCTCAAAATACAGGTACCTATTTATGCTGAGAAACTCAGAGTAAAGAAGCTTGCCAGGTGGGTATGTCCAACTTAACACCTGCCAAAAGCCAGAGAGCTGCTCTGTGTGTGGTTAAGAAGTAATCAAATCTGGCTTAAACATTCCCACCAAGTACACAAGATTCTTCCTCACTGAGACACAGGACTGAACAAGTGATGTACATTCACCAGCAATAAAACCAGCAGTGGGACACCAGCTGGCACATCTTACCTGACAGTGTTCCTCTTTCTTCTGTGTCGCTGTCACTATCAACAATATCATTGAGTTTCTCGATTTCTGCCAAAGATTGGCCATAGTGAGTCAATTCTTCATCTTCATTAAGATTATAGATATTCTTCTTTCCATAGTTTTGCTAAGAACAGTAAAACAGCCATTAAATATCAAATGATCTTTAGTTCCCAGGCAACAAATTAACCCAGCCTGTATTTTCAGTACTAGTTGAGAGGATTCTTATTCCAGTGTTCTGCTGGAACTCAGCACTGGAATGAGAGCATTACCAGGCCAATACTTTCACTCAAAATATTAAACCTTCAGTGAGGGAGCATCATGTCTCTCTTACACTAATGTAGAAATGGACTAACGTGGGAAACCTAAGGAAGCTTAAGTTCTTTCTGTATCTGCAACATCAGATTCTAATTACTACATTTCAGGCCTAATGAAACAGACTTAAAGCTATACAAATTATCAGCAGAGTATGATACCACACTACTCAGTTCTGGAGGCTGAGTATGACGAGGCAGAAAGGAGAGTACTGTGCATACAATTCACTTTACAGAACAACAGCAAGTTACAGAGCTCTTCCATTCAGCAAACGAAATGGCTGCTCTTCTCCAGCTGTACTGAAATCTCAAAGCACACTTGACAGTTGCTGCCTTCTCCCAATTCAATTCACACATCATAGCAGTGAAAGCAGTTCAAGGAAACCAAGTAATCAATGAATCTGCTTATAACTGGCTTCCTTGAATGTCAGTGCTCAAAGAAATTTAACCTGCAAAAAGTTGTCTTAGAAAACCAGAAAGATTTAGTGAAAAATTTTCCCACAAAAAAATTCCTTTTTCATAAGTTCCAAACACATAAAATCAAAAATAAACCATTGTGCTGCAAAATCCTCTGCTAAGAGGGTGCTCTCAACCCAAAAAGGCAAGTGTTCCTTGTGGGTTTGTGTTTGGTTTTGGTTTGCTTTTTCTTTCTTCAAACTCCTCTAGTTTACCTGTCTTTCCAAAGCGAACCGTCTGATCATCTTTTCCTCTGGGGTTATATTGGTGTTATATTCACCAAAACGTTTATCTTTAAACACATTTGACTTTTCCCTTTCTTTATATTCTTTCAGCAACGTGTGGGTGCGCTAGAGGGAAAAAGACAAAAGGAGATAAAATTAAAAAAACAAAACCAAGAGTAGCTACTTTCTAAGTCAAGGCAAAAAAGGTTCCATGGTATCCTGTCAGCATAATAAGGTTTATGTTGCCATCATATCATAAATAATAATTTATCAGAATGCAATGAAAGAGAAGGGAAAATAAATGAGAAAAAAGATGGAACTTTTACACAGTATATTCAGTGTCACTAACTTCTCTTACAAGCTGCCCACGTGAAGATAAAATATGTTACACTGTATCTCACCTTTATTTTATCACATCTAAAACCTGTGCCTTTCTGCTAAGGAATTCTGATTTGTCTGAAGCTTAGGAAACAAAGCATATTATGTTAAAGAAAGCAAAAAAAGCCAGAAAACGTCAGCTGAACTTTTTTTGGTCTTTTCATCTAAGATATAACAACCCCAAGCGGTTCCATACCTTCAGCTCTGTGCTTTGCTGTTGAGCACAGGGAGGTCAGGCATCGAGGCACTAAAAGAAAGTTTGTCACACCCCCACGAGGTGGTTACAATGTGCTCTGCTTATGGTACCAGTAAGGAGACAGGTTCACTTTTCAGTGCCAGTGATCTAATTCATGACAAGCATCTGATTCACTTTACTATGAAAGAAACCCCCAACTCTTAAAATGTGATCTAAAACATTCATGAAGTTTTCTAAAATCTTGACAGTAACAATGAAGACTGAAAGTTAATTTATAATTTCATGATGAAAATATTATATGGTTTCTAAAAAAGAAAATGCTGGCTGTGTTTAGGTTGAAAAAAATATCCATTTTTATTGAAAAAACATTAAATTATTCTTAGGGAAAGTTATTGTTGTCATTCATAATGCCAGGACCTGGCTAAGTGCTGCACTGAAGGAAAAGGCTCAGTTTCCTCCCTGAGGCCTCTGCAGCCTCACTGAGCATTCACAACTTTCAGATGTGGCTGTAAATGACACCAAAACTCAGATTTCATCTACTATTGTGCCAGTTCTACCTTGCATTTACTTCTTGCACACAATACAATTATCATGCAGCTTAAACACCGTGTAGGTGCTTCAATATGTACTTCGATATTGAAAAGCACTTTTATTTATCAATTATCTGATTACCTCTCTTATTCATTAAAAAAATCACTGAAGGCATCACCTCTCATGCAAAATGATAAACTGTCCATTTGCTTTTGCTGCACTTGTCCTTTCAGTGAGTGCTTTATGTCTGTTTGACAAGAGAACGTACCTAACACATCAGAGAGAATCTCAGGGGCACATTTTCAAATTATACTTTTTCCAGCCTTAAGTGAATCTAGAGAGGGTTTTTTTGCTGGTTTGTTTGAAGGGAGAGATCACTGAAAATCCAGTATTTCACCCAAGGATAAGTTAGGCTGCTGGGATCCCAGATGAAGAGGAGGACACTCTCTCCCTTAGGCATTACAGCTTTCAGACAGGTAGCTGGTGATGGCAGCACAGAAAGACAAAGAGGCAATTTTAAAACGGTACAAAGGTGGAAAAACATTTACTCTTGGTAAGTTGTATGATCATTCTCATGAGAGCAGAAGACAGATCACTGCATGCTTCTACAACTACTTAATCAGCGAGCAAAAGGTTACCCGCATTTGTTTCCAGATCAATGGTAGTTTCTTTGTATCCACACGTTTCTCCCTGCATTCAGACCTCAGTGCCCTCTCAAGCTTTCACCATTACACCAACACTGCACCATTAGCAAGAAGTTTTAACGTTCTGTGATCACCAAACCCCACCAACGCAATGAACACTATGGGCACTCTGATCCCGTATTTGCTCGCCGACAACACGTGCCACTCTTTTCAGGTAACCTGAAAAGAGAATCCTTCCCACACAAGCCATGGGGAAGACTTGTACTCCGAAATCCTGTGGGTTGCACTGATGGGGCCATTCCCAAAGCTCCCCTTCGCCTCCCGAGCAGAGAGAGGTGATCGTACACTCCTGTGCACGGCCGAGGTGAGTCCCTCATCTCACCTGAGAAGGCTCCAGCATTATCATCTCCCCACAGCCGCAGACGCCATCCTTTCTCCCTGGTTTGGATGTCCTCTTACCTTCTTGATGGCCTTGGACCGTGAGACACCAGGCAGCCCCACATCATTCTTGGTCTTCCTCCCCAAGATGTCAAACTTCTGCCTGTTGACCTTCACCTCGAAGGGGTTGCTCTTGACCACCGCCATCGCCGACTTCACGGGGCCCTTGGCTGTGGAGGGCCGTGGCACCTTTCTCTTCCTCTTCGCCGCCTTCCCCATCTCTGCTCCGGCTGCCCGTGGCCGAGGGGAGGCAGCGGCTCAGCCCTCACAGAGCGCGGGGGCAGCGCTGGGGGAAGGGGGGCGAGCAAAATGGCGCCGGGGACAAAAGCCCCCGAACTGCCCCTCGGCCTGACCGCTGCCCTCCGGGACAGCTCTCCCAGCCCCCGTGCGAGCCGGAGGGGAGCGGCGCGGGGGCAGGAGGAGAAGAGGGAGGAGGAGCAGGAGGAGCAGGAGCGGCGGGAGCAGCGCGATCCCCGCGATCCCCTCAGCAGCGCCCGGGAGCACCACATGCGCACCGGCAGCCCCACCTCTCGCGAGACGTCCGCCAAACTACCGCGATATTTGATGCTCTTCTCCCCTCCCGCTCTGGGACCAGCGTGGGGAAGGCTTGGCGCACTACATATCCCAGCAGGCACAGCGCGGCGGCACCGACATCTCCATCTCGCGCGCCGCGCTCTGCCTGCCGGGATTTGTAGTGCAGGTAGCGGCGAGGGGCGGTGGCGGAGCAGCGCGGGGCGGTGCTGCCTGGGGCGGGCGGAGGAGCCATGGCCGGGGCGGGCGGGCGCTGCCCGCTCCCCGCCTCCACCCTCGGGGAGGGGGAGCGCGGTGCCGGGGCGAGCAGCGGGTGATGGGGAAGAGGCGAGCGCGGCGCTGAGGTCCTGCGGGGCCGGATGAGCCAAGGCTTGGCGCCGCGGCGGTGGCGGGGCTGGAGGAGAGGGCGAAGGAGGCTGTAGGGGCGGCCCCCGCTCCGGCTGCCCTGAGGGGAAGGAGCCCCCGACCATGGAGATCGAGAACATCGTGGCCAACACGGTGCTGCTGAAAGCCCGGGAGGGTGAGAGTCGCGGGGAGGAGAAGCGGGAGGGCGAGGCGGGGCGGGCTGGAGGCGCTCGGCGGGGGAGGAGAAGGGTCTGAGGTGAGGGGGAAAGGGGCCCGCGGGCAGGGGGAGAGGAAGTGATGGAGGAGGAGAGGGTGGGAGGGAGGAGAGGCTGCGGGCAGGGGGTCCAGGCGGGGCGGGGACCCCTCGGGGGGGCGGCGGGAGCCGTCCCGGTGAGTCCCGGGCAGTGCCCCGAGGCACCTGCCCCGCTCCTCCCGTGGGATCGGCTCGGAGTTACAGCCGTGTGGCTTTGCTTCGGAAAAAAACCCACCCAAAACAACAAAACAAACAAACACCCCTTCCTCCTTCCCCCTTGATTCAAATAGTGTTTTTACCGGATGTTTTAAGAAGGTCGCTCGTCTGTAGTTCTCGGTTTGTTTATAAATATATATGCACATGGGTATAAAGGACGGAGTGACATAAGACTTCTCTGGGAAAACCTTGCACTCCATCTTGTTGAAATTCCTGCCTGTGAAAAACAGAGCTGGTGAATGCGACTTGCACTCCAATATTTTGTATTAGCTTAATTCAAAAGTGTGCTGTTTCCCATTGGATTGGTGCTTACAGTTTGACTGCCCAGAACACCTTGAGTCGGAGATTCCTCCCCTCAACTAACAAACGTTTTGGATAGATAATTAATTTCTGTAGAACACGTGGTTCCTGTTTAAAAAAAAATCTGAAATAAGATAGTCCTACTACTTTTTCACGTATATATAACTGTGCATTAAATGGCCACTTGAAAGCCTCCCCAGATTACCACTGTACTTCGTGCAGAGTGTGTTTCTCAACTAGAAAATGTGCATATTCTTTTTGGATTGGATCCTGCTTTTCTTAATTGTGTAGAGAAGTTCCATTAGTTTAGCTGGAGCTCCTCAAAGTGAGTAAGAACAACAGAATCTGCCTCTGTATGTTTTGCAAGTTCCTCCAACTCTAAATGGGTTTGGCACTTACGCCATATGTGTATCCAGTTAAATTTGCCTTAAGCAGCAGGAGAGGAAAATCAGCTTTTTGACTTTGAAGTGGTGTATGAAAACCAGAACAGTGATCACAATTTTGGGCCTTTTCCCAACCTTAGCTAAAGAGACCACCTCAAACTAGAGAACGTGTTTTGGCTGGTTTCACTGACGGTAACATGTCTGTGGTGCTGCTGCCTGATTTTGGAATTTGCATTGAAGTGATCTGAGAAATGAAGGGAAAGTGGAATCTGGCTCAAAACTTTGCTGTGCCCAAACCCTCACCACAAAGAGTGGAGTGGTAATCTGGAAAGGCTTTTAAGTGGCTGCTTAATGTCAGGTTGCCTCTTTAGTTAAGTTTTCACTATGTTTAAAATAAATTATAGTGGTAGAACTGACCAAACAAGATATTTTAATGAAGTAAATGAAAGTCTGACAGCAGCTGATGCGAAGATCAGTTCTACCTGATGTGAGACTTATAAAAGCAGTGGTAATAAACTGTTACTCTTTTGTACTTTCACTTGGCCTGGGCTCTTTTGTAAGCATGCACAAAAAAATGTGATTTCTGGCTTTAAAATTCTAGAACTCCATTGATCAATTGGTAGAAGGTTTTTAACCTTTTCAGGTCTGAATTCCTGTGCATGGGGTACTTCTCATGTCAAGTTTTTCAAAACACTCATTGAAATGGAAGTATTTTCTGACTGTTGCATGATCTGGCTGCTCTGGGAGTGTCTGGTTTACTGCATCTGTCAGGACCATTCCGTAAAGTCCCTGTCCCAGCTCTGCTCTCATGTGCCCAGCAGGCTGCAAGGCCATGGAATTTGCAAAGTTAGTATGTGAGATAGGTGTTTTACTGAAATATATTCTTTGCTAAAAGGGCCTCACAACTGGGACAGAGGAGCAGACTTTTCATTCCTGTTGCCTCAGTGTATCAGGTATGGACAGGTGGGACAGTATGGAAAAGTGCAGAATTACTGTTTCCCATGGAAGAAAGTAAAATCCTAATCTAGTTTAAAATAGCAGCTTTACTTATTTTCATGTGCAGGCTTGAGCCACGTCATTAATCATTTTTCTCAGCGTGGATAAGAGAAGGTGTTGACCTGGATAAATATTTCAGTTGTAGAAGGAAATGAAATAACGTGTAAATGACCGTGCTCTTACTTTATAGTTTGCAGTGACATGTCAAGAGAAACCAGTGAGGCTTAGTTATGGCTTGCCTTGGTCAATCTCAGTCTAATTGAGATTCTTGTCTGATAAAGATGAGAGTCGTAAAAGACTGTACCCTTGAATGCATCTTACAAGGTCTGTTAACCCCAGAGATGTGCCATTTTCATTTTGCAAATGTAGAAAGTGAATTAAAGCCATTGTGTACCTGTCCAGTTCTGGTGAGAGGCTGTGGCAGAGGCTTAATGAGAATTCATAAATCCCCCCATAAATGACACAAATTATACCTGAGCACATAACCAGATCTGACAGTCAAAATCGTGATCCCAGGCTTGTACTCATAATTTTTCTTTTATTTTAGATACTCTATTTCTTCTGGATGTCAGTGTATTTAGGATGTGAATATAATTTGGGTTTTACATTTGTAGGTGTACAGGATCAGCACACCTTGAACATCCAGGTTCATGTTACTGTTAAAATCTGATTTGATGTTTAGAAAGTAAATTTAATCTGTTATTAGAGAGCAAGGAGCTAGCTAATGTGCTTGGGTAAAATGCATCTTTTACTGCTTTCTTCTCCAACAGAACAGAAACAAAGTGGTTTTGCTCTCTGTTTCTACACTAACTACCTTCCAACTTCTCACTAACAGTCTTACTGTTAATTTATTTAATTGATAATTTTTTATTGTTATTTCTAATTCAATTTACATGATGATAACTTCTCTCTGGGAGAGTTTACTAATCCCATTGTTTAGGCGATATTGAACCCCAGCTTCCCCCCAGCCTCAAAACATTAAATTTTGTCCATGAGAGGATGTTTACACCTTTTAACAAAAAAGGTTATTTTAACAGAAGCCTCTTTCCATTAAAGACTTGTAATATCTCTGTAGCAACTACAACACTTCTTTATGTGAAGAAGGACAGTCAGGAGGATTCCTTATCTTCTTTAAATGTGACTTGGTAAATAATCAAATGCCAGTTCTTTGCACGTGTGGTGTCAGTGGTGGCTCATAATTCAGGACTCCTGAATGTCCCTGCTACTGGAAAATACTGTGATGACACAGAGTACCCTTTGGTACTTCATGGATCAAAGATTTAGGAGCCAGGAGCTATACTGGGAGTTTTTCTTTCCTTGTCCTCTTTTCCAGCTGACCTGCTTTTGCTGATTGCTAACCTGCCCATGGAGGGATTTGCCTCCAGATGAGAACTGCAGTGCAGAGTGTTCTGGGATTCCCCATCCCAGTTTCCTGGGATGAGTGGCCACCTGTGCCAATCCAGGTCTTTCTTCCCGTGTGTACCTTACTTTTTGAAGGAAACCTGTATGTGAGAAAGAAAAAGGGGAAACTTCCTCTTCAGGTGAACCCAGTGGTGGAACAAGCACAAGTGACTCAGTAGAAAAACAAGAGATTATAAAGCAAACTCAGAGCTGATCTTATGAGCACTGAGGTGCAGGAACTGAGATACAGAAACGGGTAAGTGTTAAGTGATAGTGATGTAGGAACTGAGATAGCTGGTGTGAAAGCTTGCAATTCCACCTTCTCCTTACTCAGATTTTCACATGCAGGGATTTTTATGTGTAAAGGAACAATGTACAGCAATATGACTTCTAGTTGTGTACAAGAGCAGAGGAATTAACACATTCATTTTTTTCCCCAGCAGAAATATCTTTGAAATTAGTATCTCTTGAAGGACACTGATGACTTTGTCTCATAAATGGAGAGAAATAATAAATATAAACAATGTTATTCTGAGAAAAAACTCAAGTTCACCAAAAGATATTTTTATTTTAAATTCACTTTTCTCTTTATGTTTGTATCTTCTGGTTTTCGTAGTTCTTTCTATCACTCTAAGTAAATCCTTTGAGTGTATGTAAACCCCAAATTCATTTCAGCAACCCACACATAGTCTGTGATGTTTTGAAGGAAAAAAATTAATCTCCGTATGTTTTTAAACTGCTTAGGAGTCTTTCTTTTTTCATTGCCTAAAGTAATAGTCTCCAAAAATACACCCAGAGGGTAGATATGTAGTTCCTTTGAAGTCAATGGCAGTTTACTCCAGTTGAAGATCCATGCCAGGAGTACATTTTAAACATACCTGGGCCATTTGCATCCATTTAAAATTCATTTGTACTGCTATGGCAGGAGCAGTTTGGAAATGGGAACTGGGTCTGCTGTTAGGCATATAATATCCTCCGTGTCCTGATTGATTTGGGCTAAATTAAGGTCATGCCTCAAGCAAACTTTGCCCCAGCTCTGGTTGTGTTGGTTCTAGGCTGTGGTTGCCTAGAGTGGCTGAAGGAGTTTCCAGCTGGATCCATGAACCCATCTGGGGTGTGTGGGTTTTTATGGTGGTTTTTTCCCTATGTTGCTGGGTGTTTTGGGGTTGGGGTTTTCTTCCCCAAATTAGTTGTCAGATGGCTCAGTAAGCTGCTGCAGATTTGATAATTGCTAGGTGCAGCCCAAGGATGGATTTAGCAGGAACCCTTCAGTAACAGAGTGTGATCACAGTGTGGCTTCAGTGAATCCTGCAGGAGGCTTCTTTCAGCATTGATAATTGTGTTATGGAGCTCTCTTCACTGAAAGTGAGCAGTGCACTCAAAGAGTGGGTTTTATCTGTCTAGGCTTAAAAGCAATTGGAATCATTCTGCAGGTGAAGTACATCCTACTTTTGCTTACAGTACAGGGTAATAATTCAGTGTAGTGCTGATGATAGAAGGAAGGGATCCTATAACGTGTTTTTGTAACTAGGAAGATAATTCTAAGGAGATTGCTCAGATCGCTGCAATTTGGCCACTGAACTGAACTAAAATCTTTAATCATTTAAGGGTTATGGATAAGGGGGA